GAAATTTGATACAGCTGTATAGAAAAGTTATCTGGTTTAAATCCAGTAATCGAAAAGATCCTGTACCTTACGAAAATTATTCAAAACAATAATTTAGAATCATTTCGATGAAGACGATATCGTTACTGGTTTTATAATGACAAAACAGCTGATAAAATCGAATTGTTCGTTTTCAGAAATATGACACAGCTTTATATAAAAGTTTGCTAGATTAAAATCAGTAATTAAGAAGATCTATAATTAACGAATAGTATACAGAATAGTTGTACAACCATTTTGTGAAAACAATAATTCGATATCTTTACTGGTTTTAAAATTACAAGCTGATAAATTGGAATTGTGCGATTCTAGAAATGTGACACAACTTTATATAAAAGTTTGCTAATTTAAAACCAGCAATTAAAGATCTGTATTTCACAAAAATTATACAAAGCAATTGTATAATGTTTTTGATGAAGACGGTAATTCGATATCATTACTGGTTTTAAAATGATAAGCTGATAAATTCGAAATGATGGTTTTTAGAAATGTGACACAACTTCACAGAAAAGTTCTCTAGTTTAAAACCAGTAATTGAAAAACTGCAATTCACAAAAATTATACAAAATAGTTGGAGAATCATTTTGATGAAGCCAGTAATTCTATATCAATACTGGTTTTAAAATGACAACCTAATAAATTCGAATTGTAAGACAGCTTCCAAAAATGTGACATAGCTTTATATGAAAGTTCGCTAGTTTAAAACTAGTAATTGAAAAGATCTGTAATTCACGGAAATTATACAGAATAGTTATAGATTATTTATGTTAAAGAGAGTAATTCAAGATCTTAACTGGTTTTAAAATAAGATGCAAATAAAATAGACTTATGGGGTTCCATAAATGCGAGGCTGTCATTTTAAAAAATTACTAGAATTAAATCATAAATCATAAATTACTTGTTGAATCATTTTATTTAAAACAGTAATTCAATATATCTTTATTGGTTTTAAAATAGTAGACTGTTAAAATTTAATAATGCGTTTCAAGGAAATTGACAAAGCTTTTTTAAAAATTCGTTAGTTTAAAACCTGTAATTTAAAAAATCTCAAATTAAGGAAAATCATAAAAAAGAATTGTAGAATTGTTTTATTAAATATAGTTAGTAATTTGATATATTTACTGATTGTAAAACTACAACAAGCTGATAAAGTCAAATTATGCGTTTCCAAAAATGTGACAGTAATTTTTCAATTTAAAAAAATGATTCTCTTAAATGGAACAGTTTTTAATTCTTCTTTGACGATCTTTTTTGCAAAATACGAATTTTAATACCACAGTTTTTGGATTGCCCTGTATAATTAGAAACCATTTCAAAAAATAGTTCTTACCAACTTACGTATGTTACAAAAAATCAGTTTGACACTACTTAGCGTGTAGACACAAAAAATCGAGATAACTCTGCGAAAATTAAATAAATTTAAGATGATTTTCCATAGTGTTTTCACTATTATAAACACGTCCCAATTTGTATCTATTAACGACCATATAGGATGTTAATTCAAGGCTGCACGCGCTCTCTCAACAACGCTATCCTGCCAAATTTTCCAAAAAAAACCGCCACGTCACGCAGAGATTGATGATCTCTTTGAATAAACCCATGTCTGGCATTGTTGTTGAACGCTAACCCCAATCTGTTAAGGTAACCGCTTTGTTACAGTCAGTTCGGACGACCAATCAAAATACCACGCCGAAGAGTCCCTTAACCCTTCTGGAGGGTCGTCAACGCCATTTTTGAGGATGGATTACAGTTTAAAATCCTTTTCGTCCTTTTTTTAAATTGTCGGATGCTTTGTTGAAGGGAAGTTATCCGATTAAAGTCGATACCTTGTGTTTTGGCGTCGTTTTTCGGTTCATTTGAAAGTTGATTTAAGCCTTTATACTTGGATATAGCGTTTACAATGTCAAGTCAAACTTAAAAGGAACAAAAATAAGAGTGATATAAATATTATAGAAAAGTTAACTCAGTGTAATAATAATTTGTGACTGAATTGTAACTGAGCAAGTAAATTCAATGGGATCGAATATTCTTTGAGCAACTCATAGTAGATCTGTTTGTGTTTTGAGAATGCTCAAATCCATTAAATGTAATTATATCACAAATTAAAACATAATTTTTTGTATTCGATAACATCCCTGACTTTAAAAAACTCTTGGAGTCTCATTTTCATTAGTAAAAACACATTCTTTGTGATTAAAATTACCTAGTCACATTAGTTTTTTTTGCATGAGCATTAAATTGTTTTTATTCTATTTTGGGTAATTTATATCGTTTTTCTTTTCTCTCATCTCTGTACTAAAACTTCCTTCTCCAATGCACGTTGACATTTTATTTTATAATGTTTATTTTATATACTTAGATTTGTATTCTTCAGCTTCTTTTAAGCATTGCTTTATTTCTTTACTGGTTGCCTTTTTATATGAGTACATAGTACCTCTGGTGGTTCTTCTGGTCCTGTAGTGTGCTCATTAAAACCTGCTAGTGAAAATCATCACTTATCACTGCGGATTCTATTTGAATTTGATTCCTCGAATGCCATGTCACGGTTGCCACAAATGTTGGTAATTAATGAAGATGAAGAAGATATTAAATATTGAAATTGTTATTGAAAAAATGTTTTTATTCAATACATTTCTAAATTGACAATTTTTAAAATCTGTGACCATTGCGTTTAATTGAAACTGTGATAACGATATGTTTTGTTAGTAAATTAACACTGAAAAACCCGATGATGATATTTTGAAATTTTCGTCGTAAAAACAAATAGTTTAGCGTTTACAAACAAACAAAACCAGTAGATATAATCGTAATCGTCTGGTCGTAGAGTTTTTACAAAACAAAATGATTACTGAAATGAAATTGACGTACCGCGAGAAAATTCCAAATTAAAAAGCAACCGGAGCACAAGAGATAATGCTGAACCGATGGACTCTTTGTCTTCGTAATGTATAATTTTGTAATTTTTTACCACCACTCTGCGCTAATGTAATATAATGACTAATAGGATTACCATTTAAGTGACTTTCAGTTTTCGGTAATGCTCTGAAGTCTGGTCACTTATTGTTCACACAGTTCTTTTTTCAAGCTTGCAATTTAATCAAAAAAATATACAATATTAATATTTTCTAAATATTATGCCATAAGAATAATAAAGGGTAAAATTTGAATATCCAGGTTTGACTATAACGAGTAATTGCCAGGAGTAAGCGAGAATTGTAAAATAACCAATCCAAAACTGTAGCTAGGGAGGAATCGAGGGGCTTGATTCCCCGAAAATCATTAAAATTTATTAAGAATGTTATCGTTAATTTATACACTCTATATTTATTAAATTTCAACTCTGGCAAATGAAATGGCGACAGCAGCTAGAGATATATTGTCCAACTTATGCAATTGAAGCCATTGTAAAATAGGGATTTATTTCCAGATATTTGACGACATTACTCCGTTTTCAACGTCTACTATAAAAGAACATTTTCCACAATAGAACGTCTAAAACCTAGGAATTATTGGATAGGTTAGCATACTGTCAATCCATCGACGATTATAAATCAATACAAAGAATATTAGGTATATATTCATTTGCAGTAAAAAAGGCTCGAAAATAAATGTATTTCTATTCATATCTCTAAAAATTTGGTAATAAATATGTAATCATTGGTTTTATACTTGTAATATAATATATTTATCATTTTAAAGACAAATATGATTTGGAGGTGTCCTCGCTCTGCTATCAAAAGCTTAATTAGAGCCCAAAAGATGGTGTTGGTTTGTAGGAAGGGTCTCTCTGTGGATCATCGTGAAAAAATACCATCGGTATTTCAGGTAAATATAATCCACAAATCCGCCCTCAAAATATTTTTCTGTCTACGTCTAAATCCAACATTATCTCAATAAAAACAAGAGAGCGCTTTCATAGTAATACTTTCTCATCCCAGTTCTTCTTTTTTGTACATTTATATATTTAATTTCTCTTTCTATATATATAATATATATAATATATATATGAAGAAAATTCAAAATATATATTATATATTTTGAATTTTCTTCATTTAGTTTGATTCCATCTACACTTCCAACTAGCTTAAGAGCATTACATACATAGATATAAAAGTGTGTCGAACACACTTCTTATTATAATAAATTCGTTCGATCTTTTTTCATCACCCGTTAAAATCCAAAAAGGAAGTAGGAAGTATTTGTCACAATAAAGGGGCTGGTAAGACCCCTAAGGAAACATTACGGCTCTAAAAAAACCCTAAGTAGCGGATAACCCTTTTTAATAAAGAATATACGTCACGTGCCAAGGGTTAACGGACACGTGTCCTTGCTCGCTGAATTACATAACAATTTATTAAAGAAACCTACAAAAGGTTTTTGTTCGAAAGTGATTTTGAGATAGAGAAATACGGAAATTGCAGAAAATTTGGTTTATTCCACATCGAATAAATTCAATACAGCAATTATTATGAATATTTGTAAAAAACCCTGAGACATGTCAATTTTAGATTCAAAAATGACATTCTTTGAGTGACAGTTGCAACTTTGTGTTTTAAAATGTATTGCAAACATTAATAGTAAAAAATAATTTAATTGTTTGACGAAATCCGCTTCAGTAAACAAAAAGCAAAACTGAATAACTAGTCAGTACTGTCAAAAAAGGCATTAAAATTGTTTTTGTTGACCTTCTGATTATAAAGACAAAACAGTTAGCTTGTAGTGAATGATTTTTTTAATGTTATTTTTTGCACTAGATTTTAAAACTATAACAATATTGAGAGAATGAAAAGAAGATTCGCAAGTCCTTACTTTCAATTAAAAAAATTTGCAGTTACAACTGTGGTATTATATCGTAATCGACACATACCAGTTTTTTTATAAAAATGTACAATTGATATACTGAATTTAGTCCTTTTGGTTGTTTCACACTGTATGTATTTAAAATATTCTTTTATGCTTACCGTCATGTGACTGAGGAGTAGACGGCGTTTTTTCTATCTTTGTGATTGGTCGTAGTTCGGCTGAAACAAAAGAAGAAAACATAATTTCACCGATAAAAACTATTTTCGTAATCAAAGTAGGAAAATTCGGGAATAAATGCCTAAACCATTAATGATGAAAAAAATCAATAGAAAATTAAAAAAAATTGCACTTCTAGGCGGACCTATGTTTTGGCCTGGCATTGTCTTAACGATCTATAAATGTCTTTGGAAGGATTTTATTCAAGTGGTTATTCATTGTAATTCAGAGTGATAATTAAGTGAAAATAATTACTTCAAAATCGAAATAAATGGTTTTTACGCGAATGACATGCAGGATGGTGAAGTAACAATGATTTTTGCACGAGTTTTAACGAACTCCAGAATGGAACTCGTATCTAAATTTTATATTAGGTTCTAAAAGGTAAAGCGCTCAAATATTATTCCAGATAAGGTAGGAACCACCAATTTAGCTTCCCTTGAATTTTATAACCAATTTCAATTTCTTTTCAGCCACTACGTCATCATCGTCAAAGGATTTTCAGGAAATATACTCAACCTTCTCGTCGTTTTATATTTCTTTGGTTCTATCTAAATATCTATATAAATTTTAACTGACATCGTTTGTCTTCCATTCCGAATCATCTTAATAAGCTGTCATTCTATAGTGTTTATTATTGGTTGAACTTTCTCTCTTGGCATTCGGTTCTTATTTTGCCCCTTTTTATTAGCTTTAAATAATATATGTATTCTGGAATCTGAAGAAGCAACATTTGCATGATGGGGCTTGATAGAAATGTATATTTTACTGAATATCGCATGCATATTGAAAGCCGATATGAATGAATATCAACGCTGGTTATAAATATTTAAATCCATAATCAAGAAATGCATTCTCAACACGGCCGCAGAATATTCAAATATTCAAAAGCAATTACTATGCACGTGTTGTTGTGGCCTTTTCAACTATGTACACAATTCCGAGAAATATCATAACCCGTTCAAAATTAATTACGTTTTTGTAAGTAAGTAAGTAAGTTTTCGAATTTTGACGCCATTTATTTTATTTTCCTAAACGCCGTTACTAAAGGGCGTATTTCATCAGATACCAAAATAAAAAACCAGAAATGCTAAAAAGCGTTCTTAAAAAAATATTTTTTAGGTAGGTCATGACTGACAAAGACAGAGATACAAGTCATGTCCATGAAAAGTACACACGCCTATGAATTAAATCCAAACGGCTATTTTAAAAAGAAGAAGAACTGTAAGATCGGACATTCGTGATTTTTTTTATGGCCTACGTTAGTATAACTTTTTTGTGGATCACTCCATATAATAATATTTGAATTGGAGGCATGGACGACTTGTTCAATTTTTGATACTGGCTCAGTAGTACTGCAATTACACCAGAAAAACAAAGAATTCCTTAAGGGTCAATTTGAGGCCTCATATTTTTACTATTCCAAGTAAATGATAACGTTTAACTCACAAGATTTTTCATCTGACTTGGTTATGAGTGACAGTAAGAAAAATACATCAATATCCATTGATGATTTAAAAATTTAAGGAGCACCCACCATGCAAAATCCAAGTAACATTAAATTAAAGTCTCAAATTTCCTTACTAGTTATGTCAACGATCTAAAATTATTATTTCGTTACCTAGTTTTTTTACACCTTTTGGACCTCCGTGATATCACTCTAATCCACTTGTAGCATGGCATCAGTGCAGCCTGCGACTGATTGTACTACCGTTTGAGTGTCCTACTACTTTCCCGTTCACCAATTCACTCCCTTATTCACCATCATTCATTCCACGTGGTCGTTGGTTAAACATTAGTCGGTCAAGCCTCATTGTGACACATTCCATGATAAAACATCCCCATGATTCGAGAGATCACTGATTCAAATAATCTTAAAGTAAGTACTAATAAACTAAAGCCAATCTGTCGATTTCTGTGCCCAGTTTTAAATAAACACAAAACACTCTACACGAGATAAAATGGCTTTATGATTTCAGCCAACCTCTTCATCTTTTCTTTCACTGTTGGAATTCCAAGGTCTCCATAAGGATCTGCATTTCGCATATACCAAGGAGCGTTTACTATGCTACGTAATACTTAGTTCTGAAATATTTCAATTGACTTGAAAACCTGGTTGTAGATTAATATTATATACTACTGACAGTTATGAGATTCTACTGATAGACCAGTAGTTTTGTTGACATTCAGTTCTTTTCTTTCTTACATGTACTTTCCATAGTTACTTGGCATCAAGGGATATACCAAGGTACCTTGCATTCAGCTCATGAGACACAATCTGTCAGTTAATATTAAGAGAGAAACGTTCTGCTATTTTTTTATTAGTAAAGTTCTTGGTCCTTACCAACTGCAATGAGAGCAGTATCGTAAAGCTTCGTTGTGAATTCCTGACTGAAATGGCGCGCAACGTGGGGCATCAAAAAATTAATAGGATAGAGAAATAAAAAAGTGATCAATGAGGACAAGAAGCAAAGGAAGAAGAAGAATACAAGAAATTTCATATGTATGTATGAGAAATATATGGAAGGAAAACTATGTATTATTATTCTTAACATTCTGTATCTATTATCACCCTGTATACACACATATATACACTCACAACAAATACCTTTCATTACTTCTAATGTAAAAAAAGAGGAGAGCGCGGGCCAAAAGTAAAATTTACAACTCCCGTTGAAATGGAGTCGTAGAAGCAGGATATATGCAAAAGCTCCCGCTAAGGGTGAAAAATAATAGCCAGGGGTCAGGATTCCCGCGGGAGCCGTAAGGAGTAAACTATCCAGGACGACTTTAGATGGACATTCGGAGCCGCAAAAGCTCTCCTTATGTCTCCACATTTATAAATAAAATACATTAAGGCTTATGGCTGGTGTATAAGGTGTCCCGAGAATTTAGCATTACATTACATTACGAAATGGATACATACGGTGTTGTTGATGTAATAAAACTGTGAAGTACAGTAAAAACAGGTGCAGGACTAAGCAAGAAGACTATTTTAAGCCATCCATTGTTCAATCTGGTGAATACGAAGTTCATCTTCAAAAAATTTTTGATTGGTCAGGACATTTTTTTTGTAACAAAATTATTTAAAATATTTTTGTCTATTGTATAATCTTAATGTACAGGGTGTTTCATAATTGAGTATTTTTTTAATATGCTATATAATTCCATAAAACAAAAAAAAATTCAAATAACTCAAGTAACTTTAAACTCAAAAATTAAAGAGGTACATATAATCATTTTAAGTTTTTATTGGCTATTATCATACTTCTCAGCTTTGCCTAAACCGCAAGGAATTCTCAAAATGTATTGATAGTTTCTATTAGATTATTCATAGATTGTTTGAAACTATAGTGTAGTGGGACTAAAATATCTTTTTTCTACACCCACATGGATATTAGCTTATCTACGAATAGATTACAGAACGAAAAAGTATGTCATCGCGTTCAACTGAACGAATATATTTCATATCCATTCTAGGTAGTGAGAATACTGCAAAAAAATGAAATCCAACAATCACAGTTTATATTTTGGACACCCAACTACTATTATTTTTAAAATTTTAAATAAATGACAATCCTGTAATTGTTAGTATATTTTTTAGTTATTGAGATTAAATATACAATAAAATGTGTAGAATCGATAAATAATATTTTTATTTGGTCCATATTTTGAAAAAAAAATTAATTTTAATCAAACTATATGAAATTATTTTAATTATTAAAACCAAAATCCCAGTTATCGTTAGTAATTCTGTACAAATTGTATTAGTTAACGATGTATTTTTATTCGATTAATAAAAATTTGAAACAATTCTTGCATTTTAGCCTCTTTTCAAAAACAAGAATGTGAAAAAAAATATTGGCTCTACTTGATGAGACAGCCTAACAAATATTATGTGTACTTTTTTGGCCTAACCAGACGTTGCGGAAATTTCTGATTCGGCAAAAAACGGCAATTTTACCGCCTTGGTACACAAATAACTATTATATGATCAGAAAAACAATACTTACTTTTATTGTACCAGTGTGGTAAACAGATGGTTGACAATTTTTATTTGTAAATACAAGGATATTTTAAAATTTTATTTGACTAAAAATTTGACGACTATGATATATAGGTAGGGGTTTAATTAAAAAATGTACCTAACTAAATAAATGGAGAACACTTTGAAACACATCATATATTTTTTTAAATTGTTAGTAAAAACAGTTATACATTTTTATTAATATTAAAATTAATTGCAGAATATCATGCAAACGCTGATATACTAAATTCTAAATCTTTTCTCAATATTTCTTATTAATATTTTTGCTTTTTTTTATAAAATACTTTAGAGCATAATTAAAATTTAATGGAATATCACCATAAAATTTATTTGAAGAAATCATGAATAAACTGGTTGACTACCGATAATCCAGAAACACTATTCGTTGCATTTAATAGAAGAAAAGTTGAAAAAACACTTCCTTAATCAACGTTCAATAAGTACAAGCACGCTTTTAAATTTTAACCGTATTGAAATATTTTAAATTTGATTCGTTAACTTTGTTTTTTTTATGTTTTGATTAGTGATTTCATTTAACGCATGATATTAAATTTGTGACAAGCAACAATGAAGCTTTTATATTTGTATTTATAGCAGTGCTTACAAAGACCATAATGGTATCTGCAGGTAGACCACAAATATTCGTACGATGTAGGAGAAAAAATTAATTTGTTTAAAATTGGTTCATTCATTCATTCCTTTGAAGATATATAACTTACAAGGTGGTCGTCGACATTATTCAAAAGTTCTGTGGTTTAAACGTGTTATATATTTAACAATTTATACAGGTACGAATATTTAAACACGGTCCATCTATGTCAAATCTATTAGAGACGAGCAAGAAGTCGTAGATATCGTCGTCAGGCGCTTCGCGCTGCTCAGCATTCTTTGATTGTTTCAGGCATGGTCCTGTTATACCTTTTTCAATTAATTGTAAAACAGATGGTCCAGTTC